TTGAAGCTTTAAAATTTGTAAGGATGCTTCGTCATCCTGAAGTTTGGACATTATAAAACGGTAAAAAACTACTTAAGTGTCATTCTAAGCATAAGCGTTACAGTAGGGAGATTGAAGGCCAAACCGTCTGTCAAGGAGTGCCTACAGATCCCATAAGTTTTGTTGTCAACCCTTGGTTTAATTTATCTTCCAATGTAAAATTGAGTTAAAATTTGACCTCCTACAGATGCTAACTTGGTTGCTCAATCGTACTCCCCCATGGGCTCATGACACCACGCTCAAGCATGTAGCTGATCGCCCGCAAACTATAGATTACACCTCATAATCTGCTGACATGAGGGGTTGATAAAAAAATTGCAAAATTTGCTGCTTTGAACATTAATCAACTAATGTTTACTCTGTCACAAAGTGAGCCAGTACACGTTAGTTCAAACACCTCTGAATTTGGCCAAAAATAGGGTTTTGTAAGGCCCAGTTTTCGTAATTGAAGGAAGGTCGCGGAATAATACTTACGCTAGGATGAATAAGGAAGTGTTTCCTTATAAGAAGTATAAATTAAGCACTCGGTAGCTTATGCGATAATGCAATAAAAAGGACTTCGGAAGAACTGCTTGAATAACCCCCAATCTTACAACCGGTTTCACTGGACGGATAATCTATAGGGGACTAATTGCTTCATTTCACTACATAAATCCCAAAACCACAAGAGTAACTGAGGTCGGGACGGAAATTTTAATGATAAACCTAATACCTAGTCAAATTGTCCAAAACATAAACCGGAGCAACACTGGTCTGACGCATAGATAGGGTAAATATTATTGCGTTGAATTTAACAGTTTCACTTAATTGCTTAAAAACAAGACCTTAACTGAGATCGACCGAAGTATTTGTAACGGTAAATGGCATCTTGATTCGTATTTTAAATTTATTCAAAAACGATAGAATTGTGTGCAGTGAATTTTAAAATAAGGCATAAGTAAATAATGCCTTACCAAAATTGTTTTGCTGCAGTAATTTTTGAAAATGAGGCGTCTGAAATCAGAGTCCGTACTAGAGCCAAAGCTCAACATCCATTTTTGAAGTTTGGACAATGGTGGCCAATGTTTTTTAGATCGTAAATGCTTCCCGATAAGTGTGGTAAAGCAAGCAGCTATTGCGGTAAGAAGGACAATTTATGTGTATGAAAGACTGGGAGTAATCGGTCAGAAGTATAGGTTCAAATTACAAAGGATCGAGAGTAAAAGAACTGTTGAAACCGTTGAATGTCATCAACGCTGGCTTAATTATGAAGGAAAACTGTGTTGCTAGTTATTACATTTTGAGAGATTAAATTGTTCATACTTGATAAAAGGCTCACCGTATTAAACAAGGCTACGCCCTTGTGTATCAAATATTTAACATACAGGCGCTAGACAGGACCGTTTACTCTATCAAGTTAAAAGGCTCTATATAAGCGGTATTTCTTACGAAATAATACCATTTGGTCATTGTGTAAAACATCAGCAAGTAAGCTTTCCATAGTTTTGTGCGCTAGATCCTGTCCCTGTGCTGAGCATTCCCAATCACATTTAATGACTCCTCATTCTGCCTAACGAGCACCATTACTTCCGGTAATGGCTAGGAGGCAAACATTAGGAGGAGCTCCACCGCCCAGGAAACCTACCTGATGAGTCAGGTAGAGAAAGATACTAATTCAAACTCAAAATGTCTTCATCTCTCCAAACCCATTAGCGAAAGCAGTTGTTATAGCTACCCGTGTGCCTTGACCTGCATAATCCTTCAACAAAGCCGATAAGCTGGTAAACGTACTTAATAAGTTCTTTGCTTATGAGATGCATAATTAGAGTTTGATTTGCCTCTCTAGCCTGCTAAACACATTTGATCTTACACATACAGCTTTTTCACGGTCTTTTTAAATTGCTTTACCTTGTAGCACTCAAGCAAACATGATTGTCCCAACCACTGGAGTACTTTGCACGACAGTAGACTTAAGCCGTCACTGAATATTCCGCAGACTCGCAACCTGAGGCAGTCACAACACAATCAACTTTAAAAGGATTGTGGATGATCACAACTTCTAGTTTAAAGTCTGTTCAATTACTAGCAATTATCAGTCGGCTTTAAATGGTTCAAAATTTCAGAGCAATTTTAGGGACCTACATTAAGAACAAAGATTTATCAAATGCCAGTACTAGTAACCAAGGGAACGCTGACAATGATTTAATTAATATTTATTCATGAAATGCATAAAAAGCAAAAAAAATTGTTGCAAGAATTTTTTAGGGACAACTTGCACGTTATCCGGAGTGATAAACTCAAGCAAATACCGCTTTTCAGGTGAAACAAAGGCTTGGCATTTATTTCGTTTAGGAAAATTTCGATCAACTGTCAGTGTGCCTGCTAGTGTAAAACTCAAAAGGATTTAGTTAAAAGCATCAAATTTTGCCACGGCTTTGGCAAAGTTAAATCAGGCACAAATGAAACTGTTCTGCCGTAAAAATGCCACCAACCAACACTACCTTATCGCAACTCTGTATAACCTTACCCTATCCATTTTTCTAATTAAACGGGTTAGGCTCACCTTCCAGCGTTGTTCTGATGAATGTATGGGCACGACCCGTACACGACCAACATTACGTAAAAGCAAATGTTCCAAGGTATGCACTTTGCACTTTTCTTTGTTTTAAAATTAGCACCTCGGAGCCCGGTAGAAGGGGTGACTTGCCTAAAGGTAGCTGCTGATAATTTGTACTACCAGGAGAAGAGGACGCATTTCCTCCGCATGAACATTCATTCCGCATTTTTAGTTTCACACTCAATGACTATGATGATGTGTCGTTTGATGCATGGTTGACCCTTCAGTAGGTAATGAGATTGCATTGCCTTTGGTTACTAAGCCAAATTATTTTCTCTTGGCTGGACCACAGTTCAAATTAACTATTATCCTCAGTTGACTGGTTTTGGTTTAAAATGACACGAAAAGCTCAGCAAAAAGCAACCGATAGGGGGACCTTCTCTCAGCCCCTAGGGCAACGAAGAAGTTAATGAGCCTAGATTATCCCTATGCGCCCTTCCGTTCAATGTTGTGCGCGCCGGGGCGCACAATGACCTGTCACTATTTCCAATTTAATAGTGAAAACCATGACCTCTCATAGTGCCTACCCAACGATCAAATCCCAGATTCGCTTGTGTGAATGATTGCTTGTTCCATTTAAACAATACAGTTAACCAAAAGTACGCACAGGCATTAAAACAAGTAAGCTGCAATACAGAAAATGGCAAAAGTTTCACTTGAACAGATCTCTTTGTTCGGAATGAGGACTGATGAGCCACTAAATTAAAATTAAAATTAAATCATTCCGGTGTCCATTTGGATTTTCACTTTAAAACCTAAACTTCATGCCGCCCTCATTTTGAACTTATAACAAGCAACTTTCCCTCGAAAGTGGAATTAGTGCTCCATTTTTGACAAAAAGACCCCCTTGAAAAGAGAAAAGTCTAACTGTGATTTAAAAGCACTTTTCGATGTCTGTATTGTATGATGAATAGGTTCCTCACAATACGAGAAAATTTATGCATCAAGTTTTGCAAAAGGAACCCATGCATGCCTTTGGCACTCGACGCAAAACATCAGAAAATCTTGCAGTAATAGTAGCCGTCAACACCTGTCTAACAACACTACTTTTCTTTCAATAGAAGAAACATGTAATCGTCGATTCAATCCATTATTATTTTAATAGAGGTAAAACAAGGCTCGTGATGACTTCCCAACTAAGTGCGTCATCATTAGAATACAGTCCTGCTAGCAGGACTCAGGACTGAAAAAGCAAAAGGAAACAAATGCTACCTGGAGGAGTTACATTGTTTCTAAATCAATTTCACAACTGGAAATGCGCACATCATCCTGACCAGGCTCCGTAAAATCTGCCAAGTACAAGAGGCCAAATCACAACTTTCCACTTGCTTTTTCATGACAATAGCCAGTTACCGCTCCACACGGGCTCCAAACAAACTAAATCATTACCACAAATGCTCAAAAGTGCAAAATTTCTAGTCTTCCTAAAAAACGAACACATGATGATAATAATTAAGTTCTGGATCCGCTCCTATGACACCAAAACACAGCATAACTTATTGGAAAATCATGAGCAATACTGAAAACTGCTCCAAGTTATTGCATTTACGAAAGGGGAGCAAGATGTCATAATTATGCCCACATATAAAATTTGATTTTATAAGTGCACTACCGTACGCAAAAAACAATAAAGAACTGTAATGTTGATAAATAGTGTTTCAAACTACGGAAATAGTTGCACGCACACAAAACCCATCGGGTAACTTAGTATTGGTAAGTAAATAAATAAGTGTACACGGACGCACACCCAAAGACGTACAGTGCGGGAGGAATGCATAGCTCTGACACAGGGAAACGCAATGGCAGACGGGCGGAGAGGTAGTAGGAGGAAGGGGACTCAAATAAACTGGAATACATATGAGCGAGCAGATCAATTTAGCATAAAACATTTCTGTTGTTGACAGCGCCGTAGGATGTATGCAACATCTCGTTGTGGAAGTGATGTCCATTTGTGAGGTGACAATGTTAGTGTTGGAAGGTAGACAGTAACAGTAGCACGTGAGATAAGTGGAGTGTTCGCCTTGCCGGCCAGGTGAAAAAAGAACGATGAAAACGCACAAGACATCACTGTGGCCCTCACTTTAGCAGTTTGCTTGCCTGTTCGTTGGCCTTCTTTATGCGGTCAGCATTCGCCTTCGCCTAAAATCATGCCCATTTTTATCACGTTCACGCGTCAGTGTACACACGTATTGCTCCAAATTATACGTAAAGCCATCTCTTCCATTGCAGATAAATGGCCCCCTCAAACAAATCAACCTTAGAAAAGTAGCACCAAAAAATCGCAAAGCATGGCTACTGCTCATAAGCATTCCGAATACAGAGGGAGGGGTGGGCGTTAAACACACGAGATTTTTGCAGTTCTGAACTAATACGAAAAAAGGAGATACTGTAGATCCCGTGGAAGAGGGATAATAAGACGCACCTTCAAATGAATGCGCTCGACCTGCGTATTTTGCTGGGTGATTTCACTGCCCATGTCAATGGCCATATTGCGCAGGTTTCCAATCATCCCCGCCACCTCCTGCATGTTCTGATCCATCTCGTCCTCGCGTGCATCGTTCGTTATCCTACCAAACAGAAATGAGAAAGAATGGTGAAGAAAAGTTCAGCATTGACTGTAATCAAACCAAATCGCAGTGAGTTGGCCAGTGTGTGCGCAGCCACTGTTAAGCCACCACATAAATGGGCTTCTTACTTAAGTATGGCCATGAACACCGTACCTTGATTTGCAGAATAAAGTCCTTACCTCAAGTGCAGTAAAAAAGCTTTCATTTAACTGACATAAGGTGGGATGATGCGCTTTGACCTAAAATTCAATATACTACAAAGCAATGAAATGGCACACCAGGTAGAGGTCGATAGGTCGTTATTGAGATATTGCAGGACGTGTTGTAATGCGTTGATATCAGAACTCTCTTTGTTAAAGAAAAATTTTGAATACTTTAAAAAAATCGCTTAAGTTAAATAACGCAAAAAATTACCAATGGTCGTTAACAAGAAGATTGGAAACATGGAAAAGAAAAATAGATTAAAAACGACTACTTGTCTCAGATTTGTGATGTAATGAGCAATAGGGTTAAAAACGCACCAAATTTACGAAAAAAGTTAAAACAACTGGAAATAACAGAATGATGCAGACGATAATGGACACACACAAGGTGTGCAGCAAACAATCAACTTACAGGCAGGAAAGCCTCACTCTTGCTACAGTACTGCAATAATGAGTATGAAACAATGTAATAATGCTTGCACAATTATGACGTTGGAAAACAGGTACCAATCTCGGGAATGGGGTCTGTTCACATATTCATGAAAGCCATCAACTAGTAGGTATGGTTCATAGAAACATTAGCTTGTGTAATGCATGGTTTAATTGCTATCAATTACATTGCCTGAGTACTTCCAGAAAACATTTACTAAAGCATTGCTCAAAAAGTTTAAGCTTAAGACATCAGGAAGACTACATGGTGAAATGCTAATGTACTATGAATAAAGATGAGGTTTACGGAGAGCATATTTTAAATGATATGTGCCTAGGACAACATGGAAAATAAGACAGCCAACTTTACCTTGTGAAAGAGGTGCAAAAGAAAATAAATCACAAAAAGGCTTCTTTACTCATTAGACCGTTCTGTGGCTAATAATAGCATTAGCACACTATTCACATGTGAGCTAAGGCAGTTAAGTACAGTATGGTCTACATTGAAAACACTGTAATGATGAATAAATAACACGAGAAAACGATCGTCGTCTTTCACTACCTTGGAAAGAAAGACGGAACAGATCTAATGACCACCCATACACGCCATTGCAACAAGATGACAGGTCGAGGTTAGCAAATAATTGTTCCCAGTGCCTCGTATGGAATGTTAACGATAGGACTGGCCGAAGCTCAAAATGATGTTTCGATTCATCGTAAGGAAATGCATGCATTGACGCATGTGTGTATAGGGTGAAGTAAATACTGTCCCTTTTTCTGACGTAAATCTCGAAATCTCCAAGCCTTCCTGTTCAATTTAGAAAATGATCATTTGCCTTGTTTGATGCAGAGTTCAAACCGTTCACGATAAACACATCAATTGCTTCGATAAATTATCAGGAAAGGATAAAACCACTCAAGGGCAAATGAACAAGTATACACCCAATCATCGAATAAATGTGCGCCAAAAAATAACATCTCATCTACCACTATAAACTTCTTCACTGGTAAACTTCACTGGCTAACTTGAATGTCAACTGAAATTTTGAAAACTTATTGATTTAAAGGACCAAGCTGACTGATTGCAAGTGGAAGCGGACAAGGATGGCGAGAAACGATGCAACGTTCGCATGATCAGTTGCAATAGCAAAGATGAAACGTAAGTTTGATTTTATCCCAAAATAGTTCGAGGCATGAACTAAAAGAGGCATAGAAATCACGGGTTTATACAAACACGTGCCTTACAACACTTTGGATGTAGAATAAAAAACGAGAAAGTGTCGTGAAGAGGTATGCTGCTAACCTGGTGATGTATCCTCCAGTCGGGCCCATCCCGTTCTGATCTACGATTATTCTCGGCCCGTCCCCACCACCAAACCCATCCTCGTCCTTCAGCTGCTTCGCGAAGTCACTCTTACCTTTCCGCCTGCAAAACGAGTCCAAAGCATTGAAACCCACTACAGCCTAACTCAGTAACCATCATTCATAGAAGATTAAAACTAACAAAAAGGGATAAATTTTCGCGACTAAACATTAAATTCTCAATGCACCAAAGTTTTACAAGTCTCAAGAACAGTACCACGTTACGAAACCAAAGTGCACCCCAAATCATATTCCGTTCTACAAAGGCGAAATCAAACGAGATCATCAAGATCGTTGCAACCAATAAATATTTAACAGGCGACGCCGTTTTGTTTTTTTTTTTCAAAAACAAGGTGACGACTACAGAATTGAATTAACGTAGCTGTTTCCAAAGCCAAGAGAGTTTCGTAACAGGCCTAAGTCCCAGTTGCATAAAACTAACTCTTCCCATTTGAAAGAAAATATTACGAGACATTATTATAAAAAACAAAATGCATAAAGCGTTTCCATTGCTTTTATGGAACTTAATTTGTGAAATTGGACTTACTTGTTCCATGGCAGCACACAAAGACCACAGCATTTATTTAGGTCGTCCAGATTCTTCTCCGCGTCCTTCATATCCTCGTTAATCTGATCCATGCCCTCATTAATACGATCCAGTTGCTCTGAAAAAGTATTTAAATGTGGTGAGAAGTCAACTATATCTTATTACCGAACAGAAAGACACAGGGTGACACCTGAAGGATAGATCACAATAGCTCCAATGGAGAGAGGAAATTAAGGAACCGACACTTCCTAGATAAATTACCCGAGAAGTAGACGATGACAACAAGTTTTCGCACAACGGATAAATGTTGCTTACCGCCCTGGTCATCCAACATAACCAATGTAGAAATACCAGCCTCTTTCGCCTGTTTGTGATGAAACAAATTGAATTAGCGCTGTGGCATTTTTTCAAGAACGGAGGAGTTAGGACGGCGTCTCATTAGAGCAACGACCCAGCAATCAACACACGTATGGTGTTGCCGTAAAAAAATGAAGCCTTGTTCTTAATTGCGCCGTGGAAGCGGTACCGAACGGCCTAAGGTGACTTTGGAAGCATACAATAAATTATTAGCCGCTCAAGCTACTCTTCACACAGCACCAAGCAGCATCTTCACCAACTGTTTACTAACAAGTATTCTGGATCTTGAAGTAAAATCTTTGAGACTAGTGCACGAAACATCTTCATTGGAACAAAAAAGTGTAGTACTCAATATTAAAGTAGAATTTAAAGCTGAATTGCCTTTGCGCCTCGGAAAGCAAACAAAACTCAAGTACAGTTGAGCACTCGCAGATCACATAACTATTTTTTTTTGCCTAAACGATTAACAGACAAACAGAACTCGTTTTGAGCACTTGTAAACTAGCACCATGCTGATTGCTTGTTAACATAGCTTAGGGCAAACATTTAAACTTTCTTTTGCTCGCACATGAAGCAGTGTCCCATTGAGTATGCAATCACACCAATAGTTACTATCAAAAGGAAGACACGAGATGCATTTACATCAATGACAAGACTCAGCTGTCAATAGTACTTGACAGATCTCACATTTTTAGTGCGATTCTCCCAACCTGAAGAGTTTCCTTCTTGATATCGCGTGCAGCATCTTAGCTCAAGATAAGTTTGGCAGAGTATCATTTAAAACCACTGAATGTTGAAAGTGCTGAGAATGGACTGTGGAGCAGTTAGTGCTGTATTTTCATGAAAACCCACCTTCAGGCTCACGAATGTGCATGTCGTCAGTCATGATTAAAAAGGATCACAATTTGTCTAAGATCAAGATTGTGCCTAGAAGTCTAAACGTACAGGGCGTTATCTAGTTTCTGGAACAATTTAACAGGGCTGTTGAAACCAATTTTGATAAACATATGTAAAATGGAACCCAAAGTTAGCATCGCCCAGGCCATTGGGTAAAATGGGAGGGGATCATGCGAATTTGTGTTTTAAGAAAACCTCAAGCTCGATTCTACAGAAAGAGTTCACGAAGCGACGCAAATTTGATCTAGACGCAAAGGCTTACCTCCTCACACATCGCCATCATACGCCGTGTGGCATCGAGAGACTAAAGTACAGAAAAGAAATCAAGATTAGTGGAGTTTTGTTACGACCCGGTAATAATTTAGAAAAGGCAAACTTGTCCACTAGGGAAACCTGAAGGTTGAGAAACAAAGGTTCCCAAAACAGAACCTTAAAAATAAGTGGAACACAAAGATTGAATGACGATTAGTTAGCTCTTTGCATTCAGACTCGGATCTACAGAGCACATCATAGACGAAAGCTTGCCAAAACCATGCCCCTTAGTTATAAAAGACCACCAACGACATGAAAATGGACTCGAGGCGCTAAAATTTTCAACGGCATCGGGTAGCATGCATGACGTCCCACAAATATCGCCATTTTCAGACAATTCTGTACTCATCTTTACCGCAAGTCTACGAGCTTTGTACAAATGTCACAAGATTTGTTTCACCTAATCGGTTTAAAGGGTAACCCAAGGGACCGTCTAAGTAACATCCGCACTTACAAAATTGTCCACGATTGTAAGAGCATTGCCAGGCTTCCAGCAAGGGATTAGACGGCGCCTCTACCAGCTAGAACGACAACGCCGATTGAACAAAATCTCTTTTTGATGTTACAGATTAGTACTGTGTCACTGCATATCAATGAATATAAACCAAGACCGCAAAAGCCTGTAAGAACCAGCCTTGATTTATGACGCGATACACTGATACAACATTAAATCATCTCTGAATGTCGTAGGGAGAAAAGACTATCACCTCAAAATAATTCATGCCTAAATAAAACAGAAGCAACGGTGTTATCGCCAGATAAAAAAATGCAGTAAAGGTACAGATGCAGAGGGTGAGCGTCTTAACCATTTTCCTTTCTTTTATTCCAATGGTTCACTAAAGTCCGTTTGTCATCCCTTTAGAGTTGCACCTTTGCTAAAGGAAAACCATACGTGAGTAACGAAAAATGCACCACCAGAAATCAACAACGCTAAAAAAATTATTCCAACTTTGTTTTAAAAAACTTCACAGTCTAGTACGGCGAGCACGTTGGTGCTTCAGGATGCCATCGCAACATGCCACTTGAAATCCCAGGTTTTCTTAAAAACAAAAAATTAACCTCCGCTCTAATTTGCCGCTTTCATAAATACCCCAGGACAACTTTTTCCGTACAACAGCCGCCGGGTTTCGAAATTTTTGGAAATAAGAATGGTGGGCCTCATTGCAAGAACCGCAGTAAAATTTTCCGTACGAAGTTTATTTAAGAGCTCTGACACGTTTGGAAGGCGATGAGTTAAACAGAGTAACCCAGACATAGAGGAAGTAAAACAGCCTATGCGGCGGACCCTCCAAAATGCAGAAAGTATCAATGTAATACCAACAATGAAAAAAAAGATTCCTTCTTACTCGAACCGAAACTCCCATCCTCAAATACAAAACGAGAGATAAATGTTCGGGCATACAGGATCTTTCAACAACCAGTTGCGCAGCTCTACTAGGAATTCGCACAATAATGGAAAGAATATAATGCAAATTGCAAGATCTAAGATTTGTCCAAGCGATACTTCATTTACTTCGCCCCACCAAATGAAGCTAAAGGTGTTCGAAATGAGTATGTTAGAGATTGCCGAAATATTAAGCCACCGCAAGAGGCAGTTGGCAAAGTACTTCCGACGGCTGAGCTCCAAATACTTCGAAAAATGTAAAAATGACAAATTGACCCCTTATTTGTAGCAAAAGAGGAGAATCCACAAACTTTGGTAGCAAGTGTTTCGAAAATGACTCGGAATACACATAGTAAAATTCGATTTGACCTATTAGATGGTGAATGTGCTCCAGCTCAGCATATCGTGAATTGCAGAGATAATTATTTCCTAATGCGGAACTTGAAGTCTAGAAAGTAAATTACCATAAATGAGAAGGACCAACACCTACATCGACGAGACCTCGGATACCCAACCGAAATGACAAAGTCCTATTCACAGTATACTCTTCGATGATTGGCGATGGGCGTAGTTCTAACACCACTCATCGGTGCCTCAGCATTAGCCCACTTTTCTCATTTAAATATTTACAAGCATAGAAGTGAACAACAATGTCAGCAATACCTGTTGTTTTGGCAATAAGGTGTACCTAGAGGTGTTGGTGTAATTCCTTACCGAAGCCAAAATAGTAGAAAAAATGCCTTTGCAAAAGGAGCAAAACATCGCAAATAAGTTGTTATGGTGCTATGACAAGAATGCGCCACTGCCCCACACTCATGAGGAGCGGAAAGCGCAAAGCTCAACAGTAAGAACCATTAATGAGACCAGAGGCGAAGAGACGAGTGAAATCAGCCATAAAATGGCAGTCATTCAAAAGGGATTTAACATGTTTCAAAGCTGCTTGCTTCTCGTTAATCAGTCTATATTTTCCAAGGGACGCACATGAGAACTAACTTGTAAAAACTTTAACGAATTGGACTAATAAATCAAAACAAGAAAACAGTAACAGCATCACTGTTAAGTTTGGAACGTTAAAAAGGTCTATGTCAAGCTTCCAAGTAGGAACCGAAAAAGGCAAACCAGATATCAATTTCTCCAAAAATCATACATAGGCGTAGTGGGCCCCCTACGTACCTTTCAAGTTCAAATTAATAGTTAATTCACGAAGAGGTGGCTGCATCAAATAAGTGAAATGAGTACTATTCACATAACTTCTCCGGAATGGTATAAAAGGGATACTTGTTACTCCGACCAAAGCTCTAGCTTCGCCGAAAAAATGTTCACAATGCCCAAAGTCAATTTATTTTTCCTTTCTGTTTACATCAATTAAGATTTGAGTTCAAAGTACTCATCGACTTCGTTAAACCTCTAAGGTCCAGTTGCCTAAGACAGTCATTCCAACGATTACGTGTCCTAATACGTGAGTGCATTTATCAGCGCGATGCCAAAATAGCACAGTTATCCGGCGGAACACCAAAATGAGTGCGCAGGATCGAAGGGGACAAACACCTAGACAAAGCAACCCAGCCAAAGAAATCAGGATACTTAGAGCGAAGTAAAGCTATTTCCCGATTTAATAGCAGCAAGACTGTGTAACGCATAATTGTCGCTCCAAAGGGTCGTATTTACTTGTGCCCAACGAACGTCTAAAACACGAACAAGACTTATTGAAGGCCTCCGTCCGAACGCAAATATTTAAGTCACCATCACATTGTTTAATCATTTCGACTATTATACTTCAAGGCTCTGCATTTTCGTAAACGCCAAATTGATGTCAACAGTTGAGTTTGACCAGTCACGAGCTACGATATCGCCCTTTTTGGCTAGTATTTCTGAATATCGCACACAACTTTTCAATGATTAAAAGGGTAAAACGGGTCTGAAAAGAATGGAGAGGCACGTATGCCCACACACAAAAAATGGCCTGTAAAGCAGACTGACTCGACTCGATCGAAAAATCGTACGGGCCCAGTTGACAAAAAAATGCGAGATCCTTTGTCTAGTAGCTAATTTTCTACTAATTAGTGAGCAGATATAATGTCTCAACTTATAGAATATGTCTTCACGTCTCTAAATAATCATAAGGTACAAAGCAATAGATTACTGTCATCGGGTAAAATGCATGGCATATCAAAGCAATTGCGATAAATTGTGTTAAATGACATGCATTAGAAAGTGAAATGGCTAATGTTTAAAGCACTGCATCTTAAAGGATGGAAATGGGACTGTTTGCGAAACCAAGTCTAACCTCTTCCGTAGCATCATCAATCTGCCTATCGAGCAACTCTGTCTCGGTCATGATCCTCACGGTCCCATCTTCCATCCGAATCTCATCAGGGCCACAGGGAACAAGACGATCGGATACTGAATTCTTCCTCCCTCGAGTACCAAACATTATGAATGGCGAACTTGTAATTTTACAGCGTTTTTTGCAAATAGCATATACAAAATACAGGAATAATGAGTAACTGGGTCCTGTTTCAGTGTGTGCCAAAGTTTATTAGAGTCAGAGAACAATCCATTTCGCTCGGTTCTGCAGCGGTATGGTACCAACGGCCAACATCAAACTTGGTAGCACGAAAAACGCCTGATTTACTTCGTGCGCTCACTTCTAATTGGTTAGCAAAAAGTGTATGTTCAACTGATCTACCAATCATCTGAGTGTACAAGTAGTACTTCAAACAAACCGAGCCAGTTGCTACTCTGACCAATAACAAGGTTTGCAAGTCAGGTGACTGAACACCGCAGGAGTGCGCATTCCTCCAGCCTTCGCGACTCACCTCATCTGTAACGGCATTCATTTTGAATTTGATCTGATCCAGTTCGGTCATCTGTGCCGGAGGTTCGTCCATCGCTATTGATTACCAAAGCCTAAAAACATTCGCAGAACAGGAATCAAGGCCGCCTTCTCGTTACAAAGTCATTAATTACCCTCACTTTTATTTACTACATTGGATAGCTTATGCGTTTTAAATTGACATCGTAAAGCAGCAAATCAGAACCTGAGCTGTACGGATCCAAGGGCATAACTTTTTAGCAAAGAACAACTCTCATCTTTGCACCAACTGCTAAAGAGCGGTGGAATTTATTAGTGACAATTTGTTGAAAGCATTCCTTAGTAACCAAAAAGACAATGCCCGTCGGGAGAAAAATCACCATAAAACTGAACCGGAATGTGAAAAACAAGTTAAGTTTGTAACAAAGTTCAATCGCAAAAGCAAATGTACATAAAACAAACAAGAATACGTCGAAAATCACCCGGCCTCCCGAACACCACCATTATTTTAATCACTAGCTACAAAACGTCTATAGACGCAGTTTGAAATATACCACATGTTCGGACGATAGTGAGCTCAGGTGTCGGTCGACGCGAACGTAAAAGAACACTCCAGCATACGATCCCAACAAAACAACTTCTCAGTGACCACAGTCGCTCACATACAAAACCGACCAATTTAACAATAACAACTTCAGATATTAAAATGCCCATTTAGACGGCGATTCAGTTAAGTGTGGTGCAGCTGGCAGCAAAATAGTGGCAAATATGGAAGTATGCTGCATCAAGGAATGCAAAGCCAAATCCAGTAACTGTACTCCAGCAGCGTCGAAAATAAAGCACAACTGCGCCTCGTGTGGTAAACTGTTAATAAAAGACCCATTAAGGAGCCGCATAAACGCAGTAAAATCTAGATTGTGCCAGATCTCGCGAGAAGATTTTTAAAAAGATGGATTTGGGTCCTCTGACAAAAAATATTCACCAAGATCACCAATTAGAAGCATTGGACGACTACAAAATGACAAGTCCAAGCAAGCACAACATTACCTCAAACCCAGAACATACCGAAAATTTCACACAATGGGTGCAAGTAAAGTCGTTTTAGTCCAGTGAAACAAGGGTATATATATTGCATTTTAACAAATATGGTCACTTCCACACTAAGATGAAAAACTTGGTTGAGTTTGGTTTTGATTAATTTTAGAAGGTATAAGTGAGATTAACGGAAGTCCAGGCTCAACATATTAAACCAGGTAAAAGACGCATTTTCAAGGTTTCGTAACTTTAAGTGTCAATCAAGCAACATTGGCAGTGGCGAAATAGAAGGTTCTAATAACCCTGTAATGCTTTGTTTATGTGACCGCCTGACGTTCAGCTGTCACTAGGGTTTGTCTGTCTCTTGAACTCGTGGGCTAACCCTCAGGCCATGCTCAGGCCCAATTACTCTGTTCTCTTCGAAATACATGTATCCAGCCTCATTTACTGCCTTCTTCCACCCTATCAGAAGTCTCGGGACACTAAAAACCCCTTCGGGGAAAATTTTTAGGGTTTGTTCGCACTGTATTATGGTCAATTGTAAGTCACAACATTGTGTGACTTTCCCAGCACCAAGGGATTCTAGGGGCTCCGATACTACCATATAACTTCCAAGACGATATCGTAATGCTTTGTTTGACAGTCAGCTTAGCTGGTCTCAGACCACGAATCACCCACTGCTCCTCAACTTTATGCTGAGTAATTATGCCCTCCTTAGGCCTTGCGTTTAAAAGAAAGTCTATGAACACTACAATACAATCGCTTGACCATGGTTACGAAGCAAGTGGAACAAATACGAACAATATTGCCCACTGCGCAACTACATTGCTTCCTTACTTATAAAAGCTAATTTGGCTCTGCAATATCAAAAAAAAAGAATTGCACAATTCCGTTACATCAGCGCTGACTTTTGGAAGCGCTATCAGCACACAGTTTGCCTTAGTTTTCAACTATCATGATTCTGTTATTGATTTCAGGTCAAGTTATAAGGGAATAATTTGTTTTTCGCTTAATAATAGCATTTTTGTCTTGGTACATGCGCCACACCGTCAAGGTCGATAAAGACTGTCTAACAGTGTACACTTGATTTCTGATCTTATTTTGGTGTGCTAGTGGAAGCGGGTAAGTCAAAAAAATAGTAGTTTGTCACCGGGGCTTGTTTCTCACTGTGATGGAATCACGCTCATTTGTAGAATCTAAAATTGTTCAGAGACCTGTCCTTCTGATCGGCAAATCATATGATCCACTCAGCAAGGAAGTAGTGGAATACGTAACGAGCCTTGGCCTTAATAACGGTTATAACAACATTTTTGAAGCACTTTACATCGACCAAAGACAAGACGCCTCTGTGATCGACACATACATCTATCAAAAGTGGCTCACCAAATGTCGCACGGTACGATTCCGCAGGTTTATAATCTCGGTTCTATCAACTAACCGGTCTCCGTTTCTGACACCCCATCCCTCACGTTAGCAAACTTGTCCACACCTGCTCCCGCTAAACAGAACGCCTTGATGCATTCGACTTGTCAATACTCATTAGCCTGGTTGCACCACGCCCCGTAGACAAAACTATTCTCTCATCTAGGTTTTCACCATTAATTTGGACAAAGGCGTAGATCATCGTTTAAGTTCCCTGACATAAGACGGTAAGAACACATTTTCAATGCGATAGGTACCCCACCTTTTCGTTCGTGGTGAATACATCGCAGGAGGAATGGACCTTATCTGGTTACTGCGGAAGGGCGCGCTAAGAAAGCTGTTTACAAAGCAGTGCATCTGTTAGCAAAAGCTTAGGTTCCAATGAGGCAGTTCCACCAGATGCGATACAAATATCAAGTGAAAAAAACATTAAATGTCCCATTAAAAATGCTATCCACATCCTTGTAGATCTTGAATCTGTTGCTTAGATGCCGTTGTTGGTTGTCGCCCTCTACCGGGATTGAACTTGGGATTGATTTCGAGGTCCTTAAAGCTGGCGTAGAAACGATTGCTGATTATGCTTTCCGCCAGGTAATCGAATCCACATTCATCGTATATATGTTTGGTCGTAAACTCCCTGAAGTCGTTTTCGCTCGCGAGCTGGCTCCAAATCCTGGCACCCTTCCACGCATCAAGACTAGGATCAACTTTGAAAATAAAAAATCGTCTATTCAATCCATGTTAAAATGACTGCTATTAAGGCAAGTGGCGAATCGTCAAGTTGTTTACCGGCAACAACCACCTCCAAGGGGTTGCCATCCTCCTTCCAAGGTAGGAGCTGCTGTAGCTCTAAACGCAGCCGCGCCTCCATGCCAGGTAGCTTTGCTGGGCTTCCAGTGAGGAAAAGGCGTCGTGGAACCCAGGGTTTGGTCAAGTCTTCGTTGAGGTATTTGGAAGCGTCCCGTAGCACCCAGGAGAGGCACTCGCCTACGCCTACCTGAGCATTGCCCATGAGACTGCGCTCAAACAAAACTTCAGTAGCCCTAAAGAGGAAAGCACCTTGTTGAATAGCCAGAGATACTTTGGGACTTTGGGATACTTTGGGATACTTCGGTACTCTAAGCGATGTAGGGGGTCTAGTTGTCACCAGCGATCCGATTTTAATTAGCCAGGCTAGGGCTTCAGATATAAGACTCATTCATTTAAACCAATGGAGCTAATGCCTCTTCGTCTTCAGCGGTGAAGCTATTTCTAACCAGTGAGGACTTCGAACCAATCCGTGAATCCATACAAAGCCAAACGTTTTACGATCTAATTCCAAAATCAGTCAAAGTTGGGAGTCAAATGAATCTATAAAGGAGAGAAATAGTAGCGAAATCCAGTAGCATAAAAAACAAACCAGATTATGATTCCTGAGATAGAAAGGACCCACCGAAACGGTTCTGTTGAGAGATGAACTTTGTAGTACTCGGAAACATTTACTTTCAGTCCAATCGTTCCTGTCTCCCTACAAAGTATAATTCAAACATTTCGTCGGTAAACGCCAAGACAATAACGATTCATTCATGCCAAGCCACTGGCTTACCTCTTTCTTGAAGACCGGTGCCGTAAAGTCGTTTTAAGAACCAAATAAACTAATTCAAAATAAAACTTAATTTAATAAATTGACAAAAGTAGGTGCGTACAATTAAAGGGACGTAAGATCATAACCGCTGTTAGCAAATCAGAAGTTGTGAATTCACATTTGCTTGTCTAATGTCAATAGCCTTACCTGTTCAGCGAACCTACTTTAATAAATAGTTAGGAACATTGTGAACATAGTTGACTTTACAAAAAAAATAAATTGGCTGGAAAAGTGTTCCACGAAGGAGAATGTTAGGTACTAATATCATCACGAAATTCTTAACTTTATTTGGTGGTGGGTTATCGAGAAATCCATGAGTTTGTCAAAGGATAACTGGAAGAATAAGAATCCAGATGATATTAAACCGGTTGGATTAATGCGTCTAAAAACCTAAAAAAAGATTATTGAAAAGGTTCTTCGGAAAAATGTGACACAAATACCTTTGCAATTTACAAAAATATAAAATGAATAACGAGTTACTTGAGAAATTCCGGGTCATAAGCAGCTCGAACGCTATCGAGGACGGCGAGTTGATCGCGTTCACACTCACTGAGATCGGCAGCCTCAGCCTCAAGTTTGTCAAAGGCATCACAAAGACTTGATTTCGACAGGCCGCCGTCAGCAGATACAGGGGTAGGGAGGTGAAAGGAAGTCGGTGAGATCGAACAGGTGCCTTGCTGTGGGACCCCGTCTCCCACCTCGACAAAATCACCTCCAATATCCTCAGAAAAGGCGTCTAAACTTTCTAGAGCCACCTCCTCATCTACCCAAATTTCCTCGTCTCCAGTTGGAGCTGCTTCCGCTATAATGCGACTCGATTCTTTCCTGGTAATCTATAACACCGGAAGAGTTCTCACAACCATAATTTGGTGCACACTAAATCGACTCAATCACACAACCGAAAGCTGAGAAGATAGCGCAAAAAGAGCTGTGTATCAATGGTTCTTAGGAGGAAGATCATGTAAAAATGTTCTAACTCTGCGAATACTGTGCTATGCGTGAATTCCTCCTCGAAGAGCCTCGTGAATGGAGTATTGAACAAGACAATAAATCATGTTTAAAAACTTAACTAAGAGGTAGGGCTTCGATCGTTACGTTCATGTGGTTAACCAAAAAAGGGTGACTTCTACACCTACGCTCTTCAGCTGCCTCGTTAAAAACAACTATTTACGATACCGACCATAGAATCTCATTCCTCAAGAACTCACCGTTTTCCGAGCTGCTCCTCGACCAGCACCGCGCTTGCCACCACTGCCGCGTTCAGATTTCAGTTCGCTTGTCATCGCGCGGATCTTTTCAATTTTGCGCTGCTTCCTCTCTGTGATTGCACTTTGACCACTTATAGCCATTCCATCATCCAGTATTTCCTGGCTGTGCAGGCCTAGTTCGGTGGCTAGATCCACCTTCGACTGACGAAGAGTTCGCTGCTTGGCGATCCTTTGTCGCTTGTTATTAATTTGAGAGAGCCAAAGCTAAAGAAAATGAAATTTACTCGGAATCGCATTTGTAGCACATAAGTCTGCAGCCACCATCATCAAAACTTACGCAAAAATCACTTCCCCGCCTTGCTTCTAAGTCGTTCGCAGCCAAGAGCCGCTAAAATCGGAAGAATTGCGTTAGTAAGAAGGCGTGCACCTGGCGATTTTCGATTGCCAGTACGCACACGTTTAAGCTTCTGATCATTTAAACCTTGCGCGTTGTTTGGCGGACCTGTTGTCATTTGCGCCTGTACTGCTGCGGGATAGGCCAACGAGGAAAGCAGTTCCGTGGCTTTCCTTTCACGAAGATTTATAAGCTTTTTCAGAACCGTCTCCTCACCAATGTCCACATCGTAAAGGGGTGGTGTTGACCTGTCGGTCTCACTCTCCTCCACATCATCAATGAGGCGGTCACGCTTTGTGTCTCCATCAAAACTATTAATATCAGATTCATCCGAATCTACCTGTTCTTTTATCTACACAAAATAATGTATGAAGTGCATGCGAACATAACAATGCTTGGTCACCGTGGCTTACGTACCTGACTTATCGCTCTTTTACGACGCATTTCCCTCAACCGATCAGCTTGAAACTGTCGACGCTCAGCCAATACCTGCGCTTTGCGCTGTGTTTCCTGAAAAATGTTATTTAAACAGGTAGAACGATTCCAGCAAATCGAAGTAGAGCACAAACACCCAAGCGCCTTCAAAAAGACTAACGTCCGAATAAGAAATACACCATGTTTGTGTATTCTCCCGTCTGTATGTTTCGTCCTTCCAGCGGTGCATTTCTTCACGGTAATTTTCGCATACCTTACCAAATGTTCGAATTAGATCCTGGAGGAAAAGCAATAATGTGTAAGTAGCAAAAGATCTCACTTCAATTACGGAAATAGTAAATTTGTCTGCATGACAGGGATACTTGAGAGACAAGAGTTGTTGGAAATACCACGAAACGTGCGCCCCACCAACTGACAATCGCCGACACGCAGAAGGAATATAGGTTCCGTTTACGAAAGGGATTATATGCGTCGTGTTATGTCCAAAGGAGACCATCACCGTATCATTGTTGAATGCTAGTGAGATCGCAAAATAATACTCCATAGGAAGATACCTGAAGGATCAGACCCAAAGTTAGCATAAAATGATGCAAGGCCGTCCACGAAATATGTAAGCTTGTTCACTGAGTACGTTTCAAAAAGAAGCTCTGTAATTTCTGCAATGATGCACTTAGAATAACTGCAAGTTAACCCACGAGATCGAGATTGATGTGGACAACAGAGAGGCTCGCTTAGTATCACTGGAAAATCGATCCCTGATGATTCGATACCAATGTTATAAAAAATGTGGTCAAGCACGGTTTCCTGCACATCTAATTGTGTGACTGTGTTTTGTTCAAATGCAGATTTTGAGGAAACTTGACTGAAGTCCATTTCATCTAGCAATCCAACAAAGGTTTCTCTCATCCTTGAACGAGATTTCATGACAACGTTTCGGAATTGTAGCATAGGTTCATCCTTATTGGAAAACCCAGCTCTACATTCGAATGAACCATTGTCAACCACAATTGCCGGGACCACCATCTCAGAGCGAATGCTCCAGACAGAGGGGAAACATACCATATACAAACCTTTATCTTTAACCAATCGTAGTGGAATACAGCAGGTAAAATTGCATGTTTTGATTTGTACCATTCCTCGATTTATTATCAATGCCAAGTCCTAATGAACTATTTTTATTAACTTTGACTTGTAGAATATGCATGAATACAATAAAATAACTCAGAACGCACATTTATGGGTAATGCATGTGATTATCTAACGTTGATATACTACATTCTGCAAGGTTAAAATTATTTCGATCGAAACAAAACATGCTTTGTATCATAGCAGCTTTAATGATTTGTTTATGTGACTACTTGGCGTCATGCGCCTGTTTTGAGATACGTTCGATCTCTGTACGTGGGTTAGCTTCCAAGCTAGAGTCGTGCTTAATTCATTTGTTCTTCTGGAAGACATGTATTCCGCTTTACCTGACGCCCTTTTCTATCCGGTGAGAGGTCGGGAAGTTTTATTGGTGGTAGAGGAGAGCAAATTCGACATTTTAATGATTTCCATCTTAGTATAAACTGTTTTTGGGATGTGTCCACAGTGGGGGAGGCGCATTTACATCAGGGGTGAGAAAATCTCTTAAATCTTTGCAGCAAAAGGGTCGAGGATGGTGTTCGCGCGTGCCTCCACCTAATCTCGTCCTATTCCACCGACAAGCCATTAACATTTGAAGCGGTGCCGCTGCGAACCATCTGGAAGAGTTTTGCGTCGGAATTTCCTCGCTACATCCGTGTATATGTGTTGAGAATGGCACTATGGGTTTTCTTATGCACTAGACTGTGTCTTCTAGGCCACAGTATTACCGCCTGGCTCTAAAAGCAATTGAGGTTCAGCTGGTGCATGCGGCTCCGAATTCGGCTCGTGGGTGCTCTTGCAGTGCCAAACGTGTTTTGATACCTGCCTCTGGAGGTGCTAGGGGGAGAGTCAGGGACATCGCCCAAAATAAGAGGATGACGTAATCCCTTGTCTGTGTAAGCGCTTTATGTCTGGGGACTGCTTTAGGTTTCGTCAGGTTTTTGTGCCTGTGAGATGGTCCGGTTGTCGGTTCTATGCTCATATCTCTTGTCCTCTCTGAACTGCATGGTGGGGTATTCTAGGGCGCCTCAGCCGGACCGCCCAGTTTGTTTAGTTTATTGATTGACGCAATTACTCTCTATGCTAAATCCTCTGTTTGTGTGTTAGTGTGTCATTATTGCTCTGTTTATTGGCGCTGGCTTTGTTTTTTGTTACTAACTCTCCCAGCATCTTGACTGATTTTGTGTCTGATTTTAGAATTTTCATAATAATTTCTTGCCCCTAGCTTAGAGTGAATTTTAAGCCCTTACCTCTTTAATATCCTGCTCCTTGTAAAGTAGTTTTTTTGGTTTATACTTTATTGCTGTAGGAGCGTTAGTAAGGTCTTTAAATATGTTGCTTATTGTGGTAGTTGGTTTAAATGCATTGCAAAAAGCGAGGCTGTTTCGAGTCATGTGGGCCGCGTTGGCTCTACACTGCACGTGCTGTCTGGGTTCACCTCGGGCCTCTCTCGACATTGGCAATTAGGGGTTCGAATCTTATTTTGAAACTGTTTAAGCTAATTTAAATGAGCGACTTGATTTTTCTGGTGATGGAGTGGTTAGTGGATTGGTTATGAAAGTGAACTGGCTCTAAGGGAATTACAGTTACTGTTAGGTTGCGTACTTCAGTTGTTTTGTGTTGATCGCTTATGGTTTCCATCATAATTTGAGTCTGGATGGAATAGCAAACGCTTTCGTTTGTTCATGCAGCTTAATGGGGCTTGCAAGTCGCTGAATTTGGTCATGCAAAAGGGGGTCTCCAAGACTGTTGCGTCAATCAATTCTACTGTTATTGATTGACTCGGAGTGATAAGTGCACTAGCATCTTTGAGGGGGTGATGCGGTGTGAATCATGACTTTGATGTGCTATTCGGTGTTTTCCGTTTCCGACGTACAGTGGGTGTCGTTATGCTTCTCGCTAGTGTCATGGTTTTCATGGGTGTGCTGGACTGTTGCTTACACAAGCAAACACCTAGTGTATGAGGCGACATGATTTTTATCAGTTTAGCGGTTTGTCTCCCAAACGACGAGAATTCCCTGGTTTGCGCTGTATCTTAATGTCGTGAGAACAGCATTGCAAGCGTATCGTCTGTAATTATTGTCGAATGCACTTCCTTTGTTCAATTACTGATTTGCATGACATCCTTCCTGTCCTTTGTGTAGTGCGTTCGCGACAAGGTGATCAATCCAGCTTAGTGAGTGCTGTGCTGCCCACGTCGGGGGAAGTATTAGAGCACCGCAACAAAGAGTACCAGCAGATCAATCTATACACTGCGAATTTGTGTCCAAATGTTGAAAATCATTTGTTTATTTTAGTAGACAAACTATCTTGCCGTATTATTTGGCTCGTATGCAATGTTCCTCTGACCTATGCCAAATCTCAAGAGTCAAAACTTTTTTATCTCTGTTAAGATCGGCAAAATGCAACACTTCAAGTATACGGCGCTTAAATGCTTTTGCATGTGTCCAACCTGTATAGACCGTTCGAATTTCCGTAAGAACGCACTTAATGGTGGTATAAGTGTTGTGATTGTAATCGCGCGAATTCACGTACACAAGCAAACAGTTAGTGATGCGATTACGATAGAAAAGCTTAATCTAGGTACACTATCTATGTGTGCTTATGATTTGTGAACGGTATGGAGGATTTTTGTGCCCTAGCGCGGTTAAATTCAGATGGAGGCTCCTTTGTATATCAGTTTATTAGCCCACCTTTACTAGAACAAAATAATGAACTTGCAGCACAGTAATGTCATCCTATGGCAAGCAGGTGGCTGCCTGATGGAGTGTGCAGGACAACTTAGACATGTAGATTTTGCCCAATCCTCAGTGAATGTCCCCAAATGTCACTCATCTTTATGCTTTATTCATGATAAAATTGGATATGGAAATGAAATTCTTGATGTGGTGCCTCCAGAGTTTCCACCGGGTAGAAGAAGACATTGAGTGCAGCCGACTACATGCATTCCAGGGTTAACAAAGGAATTAGGCCTGAGCTTGACCCGAAGGTCAACCTACGCATACAAGGACCAGAATAATCTTAGTGTAAACAAGGCATTACACTCAATACTTTTTTTTGGAAATGCTAATATAATATCCTTAAATGCTAGTGACTTTTAAAAACCTTAGCTCATTACAGCAGTCTTAAATTGCTTCAAACGTGCGATAGCAAGGAATAGGGATGTGTGAAATCTTGGGTTCATAATTCACTACTGAATCACCAAGTTATTTTTCACTTCTTCATTTTTCTGTTCATTTATACCTTGCTCTAAATATTTGCTTCACAGAAATCCTTCCGACTTCCTCAACCTGACGCCGAAAAACGAACCTTCATCTGCTCCTCCTTGCCCTTCTAACATCTCTAAGAGTAAGTATCACGACTGGATCAGAGTTACTCAGGTGCAACAGATTTCCATTTGTATGTAATCCTTGTGTGTGTTGCATGTTGAAGGTTCAGGTATAAGTTGGTTACCAAATAATTAGTACCATTATTCATTATTTTCGCATGTGTGACGTAGTGCGGTTAAAGTACTGCCTCGGAATTTTTAGCTCAAAGTGAATACACATAAATCAAAACCCAATGGATAGAGAACAACCGATGTTGGACGCTTGCTAAAAAGTTCAAAACATAGCTCATATTTCAGTATCGATGTCTATGGAAAGTGAAGTTTAGGAGTAAATGCACGAAAATGTCATGCATCGTATAACCTAGGGCGCCACCAGCATGGCTCTACCAACTCTTGCGTCCACAAATCCTATAAACTATTTAAAGCAGAAACTGTGTCTTCCGCCCGTGATTAGTCAGAACGAATATAATTCCCTTTTGCTGCACTGTTTTGAAGGTATCTGCTTCACTCATTACGAGGCGACAACCTGCATTCCCATTGAGCTTTCCTTTGCCCACGGCACCCGACGATGCCACCATACTTTCATGCGCTATTTCCTTCACTAATCTTTTCCAATGAAGCATTAGGTGATCTGCTTATTTCCATTTGGCATTCAAGCTTGTCATCCACTTTTATCTTTTGTCTTTATTATATTTCGCCTCAAAAACGGACTGACTTTGCACTTTCTTTTAACTACATTAATTCTTTAAAGATAGTAAAATTTTGCGTAGTTGAATTTTTTTTCGCATTATACCCTTTGACTTACGGCGAATGGGATGCACTGCTAAACCATAGGCCCTAGATACCAAGTAAAACGCTTACCTCGAGTGCGTTCCTTCTTGTTTGTTTAATGCAAAGGCTCTAAAATGGGCGTTGCGATAAGTAGGCGTACGTATCTGGTTGAATAAAGATTTATGTACTGCTTTTAAAGGCTTGCCATTGTTTCTACTAAGACTGCCTTTTAGCATTTGATACCTATATTTGTATTCAATACCTAAGACTCAACTTTATTAATGGTGCATCTCAAATATTTATGGTCAAACTAAGATTAAACTGCAGGGAGGGTAATGTTCACAGCCTCTCCCAACATTTAGGCCTCAATTGAATCGGATAGTACCATTAAATTTGAGCGAAGCCTCATTTATTATAGACCTACCATCGCAAGCTCTACTCACACACACTTGCATGCACGCACACGTCGAAAGCACTCACAAACTTGGCAATTAAAGCGTCGGAACGGAGAGACGATAAAGCACCGGGTCTTTTAGGCACGCACGTAAGCGATGGCGGTGGGCGCAGCTGAGTTGACGTCACGCGGTGGGTTGGCGACGCGTGTGCGTGCGCTCTCTTCTCCGCTCGTATGCAAGCGTGCATGCGCGCCAGCCCCAATCGATAATCGTCATCGTGCGAAGGGGAGGCCTAGGAGCGTAGCTATTTTTGCAGGCACACGAGTGAATGCCAGGGCAATGGTGAGGGAAGTTTTGCTTGTGGACCAACAATTTGAGCGTGGATTGGCGCAACCTGATTAGCT